CCCTGGCCGGGCAAAGTGCGCATCCCTGGCGAAACCAGCGGGGCGAGGACCCCGACCCTGGGCCCAGGATGGACCGAGCCAGGATCGGCGATGTGCACAGCAGCTGGCTGCTCCCTCGCCTCCAGGGGTCCAGGGCGGCGAGACGCTGGCCGTGCCCAGACCTCTGACGCCGCGACCCGTTCGCAGCATCGGCCCCCAGAGGTCCCAGACCCCCCTCCCCGGGGGCCAGACCTTCGCTCGGAGCCGCCGCCCGACAGCCTCAAGGCCCGGCATGGAGCCCCCACATGCCGAGCATGGCCCCGATTTCTTTTTGCATGTGTGGTCACGACGCGAGGAGGCACTGGAGGGTCCTTAGTCCTCGAAGTATGCACCGGGTTTTCTGACCCGCCAAGAAACTCGGTGTATAAACGCGCGTCTATACGCCGAGTTTCTTGGCCGACCCCAGCTTCCCAATCCGTGGAACGCGTGGGCGCCTGTGCACAGAACGCCTTCGCCGAATTCCTCGGCTCATTGTCCGGCCAGAGGACGTGCTGTATACATCGAGCCTTTACTGGGACAGGGTAAGCCAGCTTTCCCGGCGCACCCCCCCTAGGTGGGGATCGGCGCCGCGAGGCCCGAAGGAGACCCGCACCCATCCCCACATGGGCGGGGGGCGGGGGGAGGTCGCCCAGCGAGCCGACGACGTGATCATTTTCTGTGCGCGGCCCCAGGGGTCCCGACCCCTTCCCCCCGCGGCGGTGCTTCGCCCCCGCTCCGCGCGGTATGGCCCCAAGGGCCCGAAGCTGGTCCCCCCCGAGGCCGAAGTCGAGGAGAGACGCCCCCATGGGAAAGACATACCGTCGGAGATGTGGGACTGCCTGACCCGTCCAGATCGGAGGGCCTCGGTCATGTCTCTGGGCCTCCCAGGTGGGATCGGAGCAGATAGGGTCGGAGGATCGCGCCGCATCGCCGTTGCTTCGGCGACGCATGGGCAGTGCATCGGCGAACCGGTGCGACCCTCCGACCCCATCTGTTCGGACCCCATCCGGGAGGCCTCTATCATTGAAGAAGCATGCCGTCGGAGGCTTGGGTCTGATTGACCTGTCCAGATCGGGGGCCTCGACCATGCCTCGAGCCGCCAGACGTCTGGGGCGCGGCGCGCCCGCCAGCGGCAGCGGAGGAGGCGCCGGGGCGGCCGCGGGTGCGGCGCAGCCCGCGGCCAAACGCCGCAGGGCAGGTGGCGGCGCTGGGGCCGCGGGCGGCTCAGAGGAGAAGCAGGGACCACCGCAGGGTCCACTTCGATCCGATCGATCCGATTCGATACCGATTTCGGCCGTCACGATCCGATTCGATTCCGACATTCCGACGGTCCGATGCGGCCTGATGCTTGCATGGTGTTGAAGTGCCTCTTGGCGTAGCCAGTCCGATCCGATTTCTACTCCGTGCCGAGGCAGGCCGACCTGACGCGCATTCCGATTCGATCCGATTTCCCGACTCGATGCTGACTGACCCTGCCACCGCCACCGAGAACCCATCTCGGCGGCGCGCCCAGGGGGCAAGGCAGAGGGGGCGGGCCTTCTCAGAGGGCTCAGAAGGCCGCCAGCCTTCTGAGAAGCTCTCTGGGCCTTCTCAGGAGTCACGGGAGGCTTCTCAGAGGGCCGCAGGGCCTCCGAGAGGCACCGCCGCTCTGTCAGAACGCTTGCCCTCTACCACTTCCCCCTCTCGGCGCGCCGCCGGTCATCGGCGGCGCGCCGCGATCATCGGCGGCGGCGGCGGCTGCGGTGTACACAGGCGCTGTGGTGTGCGCAAGCGCTGTGGTGCACGCAGGCACTGTGGTGTATACCGACGCTGTGTTGCACGCGGCCGCTGTGGTGTACCCGGGCGTTGTGGTGTACGCAGGCATTGTGGTGCACGCGTGTAGAATCCTCCGGCGCTCCAGTTTCCATAGGGATTCTTTCAAAACGTGTATATAAAACGTTAGATTTCTTTGGAATCCAGAAGCGCCCCAATTTCCAAAGGGATCATTCTATCGAGCAACTGTCGAGCTCCAATTTCCAAAGCGATTCCTTTTCAAATTCTATATATATATATGTATATATAAGCAGGGGGCTCTGTGGAATCCAGAGGCGCTCTATTTCCCATGGGGCTCCTTTAATAATCCTGTTAGTATAAACAATGGTTTTCTGCATAATCTTCTTATAATGAACAACTGTTGCTGCAGTAAACACAGGCACTGCGGTGTGCATGAGCGACGTGGTGCTGCAGTGCACGCGGCTGTTGTGGTGTACGGAGGCACTGTGATGTGTACACAGGTGGCGGTGTGTTGCACGCAGGCATTGGGCACTGTCGTGTACACAGGCGATTATTGCGCCAGTGGCGCGGACGCACCCTGGCGGGCGCACGCCGCGGCCGCCGTTACCGTTATCCTCCCGCCCTCCCCCCCTTCCCCCCCCAGGTAACGGCCGTCACCCGGGAAGGAACAACAAAAAACAGTCACATGCCAAGAACCCATCGGAGGAATGGACCACCAACCCGAAGGTCCCAGACATCTCCAAATTCCGTGTTTCCTCGACGATCCGGAGTGCCCCCCCACCAGAAAGTGACGATCCCAAGGGTGACGTCGGGGTTGGGGGGCTGGGGTGGTGGTCTGGTAGGCAGCCACGCCACGGCAAAGGACGACGACGAGAACGAGGAGGAGGGGGAGGTGGACCACGGCAAGGCCAACGACAAAGTCAACGAGGACGTCCGCCAGCGACGGACGACGGACGACGGCCGACGACGCCGAGGGCGGCGACAGCAGATGATGGCAGGACGCCCAGGGGCGCCACTCCTCGAGGGCCCGCGCCGCCTCCTCGCGGAGGCCCAGGTCGGCGAGGAAGCGAGCGGGGGCGCCTGGAGGGACGCGGGGGGGGGGTCGGCCCCCTGTCTCGGTGGCGATGGCCTCCGAGTCCCTCTCCGAGGCGGCGGGGGCGCGCGGCAGCTGTCGCTGCTCCGCTTCGCCGCGCCCGCGGCCCGCGGCTCTTCGGGGGAGAAGGAGCACCCAGATCTCCGCCAGAAGGACAGCTGTCGGGTTGGGAGGATGGGGTTTGGGAGACATGATCATGTCGTCCATAGTACGTTGGCTGGGCTCATTGCACAGTCGTGCCCTGTATCTCCCCAACCCCTTCCACACAACACGATAACTGCCTTTCTTACTCCGGCAGTCTGATTTTTCAGCCAGCGTATTCCGAAAATGGGAAATTTGCATACACATAAACTGTCGGTGCTCCGCGCAGATCGGCGCCGGCCCCCCCCCCCTCCCTGGCGCGCGGAGCGCGCCAGGGGCGGCGCCTCTGGCGCCGCCAGGGGGGGGGGGAGCCCAGTGCGAATCCAAGCAATCCGCACGGAGCTCCGACAGTTCATGTTTATGCAGTTTGTGGCTCCTTTCGTTTTTTCCTTCGATTTCGGCCCTCGGGGGCCCTTATCGGGCCCCAGGATTATCCCTGGGGGAGCAGACGCGGCTTTGAGACCGCGGATGGGAAAAAACATACCAGCAGATAGCAGAGCATCTCGGAGGGGCTCGGACGTACCCTCAGCCCTTGGCGGAGCATCAAAAATAGTCGCGGCAAGGTTCTCGTTTTCGGGCGTTTGACTGCTTAATATCTCGGAGGGGCTCGCACGTACCCTCGGCTCCAGGCGGAGCAGCAAACATAGGCGTTACTCGTAGAGCCGTCGTCGTCGTCGTCGTCGTCGTCGTCGTCGTCGTCGTCGTTTCCGTCCCGAATCGATTTCTCGCTCTCGGCCTCAGGAGGCCGTTGCCCTGCCCGAGGGCACCACGCCGCCCCGGTCGGCTTGTGCAGGCCGCCGGGGCAGTGTCCGTGGGGGTCGAAGGATGGCCCGGGACAGCGCCGATGCATCGGCGATGCGGGGCAGTGTGGAGCCCAGATTTTCTCCACGCCGATGCATCGCCGATGCATCGCCGATGCATCTGCGATGCATCTGCGATGCATCGGCGATGTGGCGCGAGAGTCTTCGACCCCATCTTACTCGGGCTTCATTTGGGAGGCCTCTGGCACAAGAGCCACGGGTTCGGTTCGAGCGAAGGAGTTCAGTGCATAGACGCTCCAGCACCCCAGCGTTTGGGAAACCAGGGCGCGTATACACCGAGCTCTTTTGGCCGACCAAGCGACTTGGTATATGCTTCGAGCCCCCCCCATGACTCCAGATCCGCTGTACTTGGGTTGAGTCCCCGACTGAAAATGCGTCGGCCTCCTTCTGGTCGCCAAGACGCGGGAGGCCTGCCGGGGCCCCGTCGTTCCCCGCGGGCGGGGGCCGCCCACTGGGCCCCCCCAGGGGCCCAGGACGTGGTCCAGAGGCCCGGGGGCCCTGTATGGAACGAGTCAGGGTCGGGGGCGGAAAAGAGGGGGGTGATGACTAGGGGGGGTGGATATCATGGCGGGGGCCATGATATTTCCCCAGATTTTATGGCGCCTCTTCTTATTTCATTACGTTCCTGGCCCCCCCGCTGGGCCGCGCACATGCCCCCGGTCATGATTTGCACCCCCCCCTCTTGGACACCCCCCTCTTGGCCGCTCCCGACAGGGCGTCCCCAAACTCCAGATCCGCCGTGCGTTGGGGACCCTGTATGGATCGAGTCAGGGCGTCTCGAACAAGAGGGTGGGGGGATGGGAGAAGGCCCCTCAGAAGGAGGCTGCTTCTCAGAAGGCGCCAGCCCTGCATCTGCAGAGAAGGCCGGCGCCTTCTGAGAAGCCTTCCCCCCTCCCCTTACCCCCTTTGGCGCGTGGCCGAAAATCAGGGCGTCCCCTGACTCCGGATCCGCGGTGCTCCTTGGGCGATCTCGCGAGTGGGGTGGAAATTTCCGCCTTGCTGCTCAAGCTCCTCTGATCTCGAGTTCCACCCTGCTTTGCCGTCGCCGTTTCCGCCATGCTTTTGCGGACGTGTCCGCCCCACTCTTCTGAGGCGGAAATTTCAGCATCTTTGTTTCGCATCGTTAGGTGTGCATTTCCGATACATTTGTTAATCGGAAATCAACCAGAAAACGGCAGATCCAGAGTCAGGGTCGAGGGTTCGGGCCGATGATGGTGCCAATTCTTTTTCGGGTGCGGCTCCTCGGAAGTTGAGATCGGCATCGGCGCTATTATTTCTTTGAGTCTTGCCTTGCTGGTTCGAGCGCAGTCCAGCTCAATCCCGCTTCAGCCCAGCATGATTCGCCTTATCCATCGGGAGAGCTTTTTGATTAGGCAAAGAGCTTGTCATCTCCACGAGAAACTTTGTGCACTGTACCGCGTTGGCGACTTTCGAGGCGTGGTCGATTTTCTCGACCCAGGAATAGTACGGTGCATAGTTTTTAGGCCCTCAGGGACGAACGACTATGCAGCGTACAACCTTGGCGCAGTGCCTGAAGGGAGTCCAAACATGGTACGGTGCATGGGCGCTATTCTCGTAGAGCCGTTCTAACGAAGGCCTCCCAGGAGTTGCCTCCCCTCGTCTTTCCCTTTGTGGGCCACCTGTTGGGGCCCTCGTTGCTGCGGCTGGGCTCGCCCGGGAGCCATGGGAGGGGTCCGGAGCAACGGCGCGGGGGATCGTCTTTTTGGCTCCCGGAGGTGGCGGCGGCGCGTGACGACCTGCAGCTGCCTGCACCTCCAAGACCCGCGCGACGGCACCCTCGAGGGCGGCGTCAGAACTCTCGGCGCAGGCGCCCGCGCAGTGGCCGGCCGCGGCTGTGTGCGCGCGCCGCTTCGCGAACGGGTTTGGGCCCCTGGAGGCTGAGGGCCGCTCGCGCGGAGGCCCTCAGAGGCATGCCCGCTTCCGCCAGCTCGGGTGGCGGCGGGCCCGTCGGTGACCCAAAGGTTTGAAGAAAAGCGCGCGGCATAAGCAGCGGAAGGTTCAGCTAGGAATCCCTCTCCCACCCCCAGGGCCCCATCCTTCAGGGCCTCGTCTTCAGAGGAACAAGCGACGGCATAGACAGAAGTCCTTGGCGGTCCGTGCGTATTTCTTGGATCGGCGCTGGGCCCCCCTGGCGGCGCCTCTGGCGCCGCCCTTGGCGCGCTCCGCGCGCCAGGGAGGGGGGTCCAGCGCAGATCCACGAAATCCTCGCGGACCTCAGAGAATTAATGCTTATGCCGTCTCTTGTTCCTCCAAAGATGGGGCCATGAGGGTATGACATGGATCCCTAGCTGAACATCCCGCTGCTTGAGGCAACTCGTCCTCAGGGGTGGAACCGCCGAGCCTGGGTGGCGCAGGGCTGCTCGGCCCAGGCCTGCGAGGAACAGAGGCGAGCGCTCGGCGAGAAAAAGCGGCCACCGGGGGCAGCCTTGATGCAGCAAGGGCGGCGCCGGGGTATACTCTACCCCCCTGCAGATTTCTGGTCGGCGCTGGGGTAACGGTATCGGGCACCCCCGTGAGGGGATCTCTTGGCTGCAGGCATCTTTCGAGTTCTGAGACCCCGATTGTGAAGCAAGGAGCGAGAGCGCCCCGACTGTGAAGCAGAGAACGAAATAGGCGACGCAACCACAGCGACACAACCACAGGGTATGAAATTTGATGGCAACGATACGATATGTAATGCTCGAGTGATGCCGGCGCCCCGGGTCCACCGCCTAGCCCCGCGTAGGGCCGTCCCCCTGGGACGACATAGGCGCAGCCTCGCAGCCTCGCAGCCTCGCCCGTGATTGAGAAGTCTGACACGCAGGGGGAAGGATGAACAGGAAGAGGATGAGGAGGAGGAGGAGGAGGAGGAGGAGGACAGATTATTTCATCGCTTCGCTCATTCCGCCAGCCCGTACAGTGTCATCGTTGCCGCATGCCCGTCGGGTCGCAGCGATTGGGAATGTGTTCGTGTGCTCGTGGCCAGCGGGAGATGTCTGGGAGGCACTCGATGTTTTTTCGGTGCACTCTTGGGACCACGCTGCTGGGTCGCGGACCAGATGCCTCTTTGGGATGCTTCTTGGGGTCTCTTTGGACGTCGGAGGCCCCTGACCCGCTGGGAAAAGGATGAGCAGCAGGATCGGCGGCGAGCGAGGGGAAGGAATGAGAGGGAGAAGACCTTCTCAGAAGGCGGCGGGACTTCTCAGAAGCCCTCCGGCCGCCTGAGAAGTTGTCCGTGCCTTCGTGGAAGGCGCATAACATTTCTCAGAAGGGTCGTGGGACTTCCGAGCCTTCTGAGAAGGCCTTCTCCTTCTCACTTCCCCCCGGGCTCGCCGCCAAAAGGACGAGGAAAAGGTCCGTTGCACGGATTCGGAAAGGGTTCGACTTCGCTGTAGTTGGTTGACTGCCTGCTCAATCGGAATATGGGGCTTAAAGACCGCGCACGGCGTTGTTCTTTCCAGCCTTGGGGAGTAGGAGGAAGAGGAGGAGGAGGAGGAAAAGGAAAAGGAGGAGGAGGATGAAGAAGAGGAGGAGGAGGAGGAGGAGAAGGAGGACAGCTTACGATGACGCTGCGGGCGAAACGGCGCCCCCACGGCTTGGCAAAGAAAGAAGCGCGCTTACTTCGGCTGCCTTCTCCCCAGCGGGCGACCCGCGGGAACGCTCGCGGGCGCTCCTAGGAGTGCGGCCCGTGCGCGGCTGGCGGCACCAAGGCGATGCGCCGCCTCCACGAGCGAGAGAGAGATAGAGAGCGAGAAGCGGCGGAGCAAAGGTTGAAAAGGTACCCATACCGCTACCCTCGCCTCGTTTCCCCTTTTGGGGGCCTCCTTGGAGGCCCTCGTCGCCAGCGCTGGATTCGCCTCGAAACCCGCGGCCGAGTGTCCCCGACCCTTCGCTGTCTACCCCTCCCGCCCCCTCTCTGCACAACGCCCCGTGCTCAAGTTGATGACCATAGCAGTGGAGCCAATGATGCTAAGACTTCCTGCTCCCATAGCAATATTGCATTACGACATCGGCGTCTCGGCGCTCCGGCGCCCCCGCCGAGCTCTTAGAGGGCCGCTCCACGGGGCGCACATAGGCGCGTGTCCTTTGTCCTTCCCGCCCCCCTGCCCCTCCCTGGAGGGTTTCTCCGAAGGACTTAGGCGACCCTTCCTCCTCCTCCTCCTCCTCCTCCTCCTCCTCCTCCTCCTCCTCGGGTTGCCCACGGCCCCGGGGGAAGTCGTGCACATGCCCCTCCCCCGACTCGACAAAGCAACAAACGACACCGCCCCACCTGCGGCCCTCCATGTTGCGCTCCAGCCCCCTCGGGGGCCGTGGCGCATACCACGCAGAAGCCCGCGCCAGAGCTCCTGGGATACGCTGAGGCCCGTGGGGCCGTCGGTGGGGTGGCGTCGTTTGTTTTCTGGCCCCCCGACGTGCCCCAGGGGCCCCGCTGCGGCGGCGCCCCGCGGCGATGAGCAGCATCCAGGCGGCCATCTTCAACGACTGCCAGAAGGGCCGGCTGAAGACGGGCGAAGGCCTGGGGCGTTCTGGCCGCCTCCGTCACTCGCCTCCCCTCCTGCTTCTTGGCGTCGCTCGGACGGACGTGTGCATTCTTTCCCCGCGAGGACCATACATGGGATCGTCTCGCGAAAGGATAAACGCGCGAAGCCGAAAAATGCACACGGAATGGGCGTCCGAGCGATGCCACGGCTCCCTCCTTTTCTTCAGCCACGCGCAGAGGGGGGTAGGGGGAGGGGGGAAGGCTTCTTAGAAACATCCCTGCTTCTTAGATGGCGTGGGCCTTGTCTGTAGACGTGAGGCCGGCGCCTTCTAGGGAGCAGCCTCCTTCTAAGAAGCCTCCCCCCTCCCCCATACCTCCTTGTGCGCGCCGCCAATTTCCTACTCTCCTCCGTCTCCCTCTCCTCCCTCCCTCCATCCTTCCTTCCTCCCGCCGTCTGTGGCAGGATAAGCCTCGGGCATGCTTTACGTGCTGTGCCGAATGTTCCACACCTGTTCGGTTCCCGTGCGTGGATGGGCAACAGGGAAGATTATTTCTACCAGAAGCTGCGCATATAGTTCATGTGAAGTCTCACTCACTCACAGCATTGATTATTAGCTTTCGCTCCCAGTTCCGGCGATCGGATATTGCATGGCTTCTAAGCGTTGACAGAGGTCATCGCTCCATGGTTCTGATAGAAGGACGGGCACTGAGGCCGAATGGCGGTAAACGAAGCGACGGTTTGGAGTTCCGCCCTGACCTGGGATTGTACGGGCGGGAACTCTTGGATAGCGTATCGTCTCGCCAGTGCTGGCCCACCGCGCTTTGGAGCGGCACGCTATCTGCTTCGCGGTCCCGATGCGTCAACGTCCCGAGCTGTTCCGAGCCTCCCACTCCGCAGAGCGGAGCGATACGCTATCCGCTCGCAGGGCATAGCGTGTCGCCGGGGCCGCCGCCGCGACACGGTATCCAAAAGTGCGGCTCTAGTCATCTCTGTTGTGCAACAAAAGTGCATATTATATATCTGATGCAGTCGATGTAGAGCGATCTATGAGATGTAACACATGCTGTGCGTTCGATTGCATTCGATTGGAGAGGCCTTACGGCTGGTGCCGCCGACCCTGAACGACGATGACAACGATGCTCACGTGGGTCAGAGTCCTCACTGATGCTTCTTGGGGTCTCTTCAGAGCGCTCTCGGGGGCCTTTGGGGGGTAGTTTCGGGGCCTGTCGGGAGCCTCTTGGGGGCCTGTTGGGAGGCTCCTGGGGGTCCTCTCGGGGCTTCCCGGGGGCCTCTTGGGGGTCTCTTGGGGGTCTCTTGGGGGCTTCTTGGCGCTTCCTGGGACCATCTGGGAGCCTCTCGGGCCGAGGGCTCGAAATGTCCGGTCGGCCCCCCCGTCTGGGCACCCACCTTTTGGGTTGTCTTTCTCCTCGCTGGGGCCGTCTTCGGATCATCTTGGGGGCATGTTGGCCCCATCTTGGGGCGATTTGGTGGGCCCCCTGGACAATTTTGAACGTTGTGAAACATCAAAGGTCGCATATGCGAAACATGCACATTATCCAATGCAAAATGAAGCGATTTGTGCTTTTGGGGGGCCCTTTTGGAGGGCTTCTTGAGGCTCTTTCGGGGCTTCTTGGCGGTCTCTAGGGCTGCCTGGAGGCCATCTTGGGCGTCTTGGAACGATCTTTCGGCGACTCGGGGCCTCTTGATCTTCTGGGGAGCGTCTGGGGCGCTCTGGGGGACCTTGTCGGACGTTTGCCGTGAGTTCGCTGGGAGTCCCCCGGGTTTCGGCCAGGGTACTTTTCGTTCTGGGACTCCCAGAGTCCGCCACGCGCGCGCGAACTAGAAATTGTAAACGTATAGCCTTAAATCTGAGTACGCCCCTGGCCCCTTGGGCCGGCGACTTGCACCACATAGCTTGCACCATATAGTTTACACCACATGTACTGCACAACGTAGTGCGCACCGCACTACAAATACTGCACTACATAGGCTGCACCACATAGATTGCGCCGCATAACTAGTTAGAACGCATCGTTTGGGGTCCACGCTGGCTAGCATTTTCATTGCGGGAAGTTTCCCATTGGAAGGCAGCCGTCTGGGCATTTTCGATCGTGCCCAAACTCAGCTTCTGGATTTTCACGCCGCGAATCAAGGTAATTGTTACGTCCTTGCCGTCTTAAATCGCGCCAGGACGCCATCCCTGGGACTTAATGTTGCGAAGAAGCGTGATTGCTGCGTCCTAGTGTAAACCTTTACGACGGATGCTCGCGGCGCTAGGGCGATAACCACATTTTGAAAAAGAGCCACCTCCCATCCTTGAAATTGCTGTAAAGTGTTAAGATGAATGTGCGCGGCGCTACAGCGATAACCACATGTTGAAAACGGCCCCCTTCCATTATTTCAATAGCTGCATATGTTTAAGAAGAGTGTACGCGGCGCGAAAGCAAAACAAGATGTTGAAAACGACCTGCCTCCATCTTCGAAACTGCTGCAGCATTCGATCTTCAGGGTCATCAGCGGCGAGGAGGTCTCAGACGAAACGCCGGCCCGCCCAACCGACACGTCTGGGGGTGCGACATGGCGAAGTTCTTGATCAGGGGAGGAGAACGGGGATAATGCGGAGGAGGAAGTGGAAAGGGGAGGAGGAGGAGCAGGAGGAGGAGGAGGAGGAGGAGGGGGAATACGAGAAGGACAAGGAGGAGGAAAAGGGGTAGGAGGCGGAGGAGGAGGAGAAGGAGGAGGAAGAGGAGGACCGAGGACCGAGGACCTTCCGCTTCCTCCTCCAGGCAACAAGAGTTTCGTCGCCTTGACCTCCGGCCAGGAGAAACAGGCCCGCTGGACCACCGCCGCCCCCTTTCCCCCCACGAGGGCGCCATTGTTGCGGGCGGGCACGTTTTGGACATTTGCGTATGCGGCCGCAGGTCTTCAAACGTTTTCGTCTGTTCCTGGAGGTTTTCCTGCCTCGGGATGCGTTTCGCCAGCTGCGCCTCGCCCAGAGCATTCCAGGGGCGCCCGCACCGTCTGGAACGGCCTCCGGAGACCAGATCTATACGACCCGAACGCGGAGCGTCCCTTCGCCAGAGTGACGCGAAATGTGCAGCTTTCGGGCTTTCGGGGGTCGCGGGGGGGGGGGCTAAACCCAAGCACGCATGCCGCTTCTGTCACATCGCGTGCGACGATCGGCAAGCCGTGCACCAAGGGTCTATTTTGCCCAGGTTCACTGTTGGGCGGCCGACCAGCGCCACCGAGACGGGTGTCTTGCCGACCTCGGACCTCGAGGTCCGAGGCTCTCGTGGCTCTGGTCGCTCCCTCCAGGGGCTCGTGGAGGCTCCCTGTCGCTGCGGCTGGGCCCGCCTCGGAGTCCTGCACGAAGAGCTAGGAATCGAGGAGGGGAGAGAGGAAGAGGAAGTCCTCCAACGATCGAGGAGTCGAGGAGCTAGGCCTCCAACGTTCTCAACAGACGAAGAATGCGGTTTTTCATAACTCTCGGCCCCCAGTGGGCTGTCAGAAGGCGATCCGGGGTGCGAAACACCTGTCTCCGAGAAGCGGCCCAAGAATCTGGGGACACTCGGCACAGTCAGCAAGATCAAGACATCGGAGGTCTCGGGGGCGTCCAAGGCGGGGGTGATGCTCCACCTGGGGCTATCCGCCCTTCTTGCAGCTGCCGAGGAAGGCCCTCCAATCCGGGCAGGTGGACGCGCATGCCAGGGTCCACTTCGATCCGATTCGATATCGATTCCAGCCTGACTGATCCAATTCGATTCCGACGGCCTGATGCGGCCCGACTCTTGCGTGGCGTTGTTGTGCATCTTGGCGCAGCCGATCCGATTCGATTTCGACTCCGTGCCGATGCTGCCCGACCCCACGCTCGACGATTCGATGCGCACTGATCTTGCATATTCGAGCTAAGACTGGCATGCATGCTCGAGGGTAGCCCAGACGGATATACATGCCACGGATGCCGACACGGCGAGAATGAGGAGTAGGACAAGGAGCACCATTTTGAGGAGGAGGCGGAGGATGAGAAAAACAGGAGGGGAAAGGGGAGGCATATGGAGTTGTTTTTTTAGTTACTCCCAACCCTCATCATGTGCTGGATCCTCGACGTAAATATCAGCGCAAACTATGATTACATATGTAGGCTGACGCCCCATCTGCCGACCCCATCATGTGCTGTCGTTACTTCTGTGTGGGTCGAGGTCTAGAGGATGTCCTGCAGGAGGGGGTTCATACGATAATGATGACGAAGAATGTTTCGCAGATCGTTGTGGGAAGAGGGATGAGGATCTGAGGAGGGACAGGGGAGCCGTTACTCGTTGGACGATGATGTTGATGAGGGTGGAGAAGAATGGAACTGGAGGAGTACGGAGGAGAGAGGACGAGAAGCAGAAACAGGCCTTTGAACGTTCGGGGGTCCCGTGCCCATGGTTAGTCCGTGTAGACGTATGGAAAGCTCGCCCACATTACATTTGATCCGAACGGCACTACACATTTTTGTATGGCTCTTCGTGCCACTACGGCTGGCCGCCGCTTGGGTGGACTGAGTCGACTGGTGCCTGGTATGGTGATCGGCCTCCACTTCTTTTCCTTTGCCCCACACATTATGTATGTTGGTTTCGTTCTCCTTTCTTTAGACCAGTCATGCTTCACACACGCGCACGCACTGATGTTTGCATGTACGTTTATGTAATGATACGCGTTTGCGTTAAGTAAGAATGTGTATATAGTATATACATATGCACACACATATCTATATACACACATAAGCACATATACACATACGCACACCTACATACCTGCATACACACGTGTACATCTTTTGTGTGTACATATATATATATATATATGAAAAAGCGCGTTCTGTGGTCGCTTGGAGGGGGGGGGGCTTTGAACCGGACCCCCCCCCGGATGGAAGTGTGGGGGGGGTTCGACATCCCCCCCTTCCCTACTTTTAATCTCTCCTTCTCCTTGGGCCGGCGCCGGTGTCGGCGGCGGCTGGCGGCGGCGGCGTGTAGCGTCGATGAAAACGACGACTTCCTTTTTTCTGGGCCGACAACGATGACGACGACGACGACGACGACGACGACGACGACGACGACGACGACAATGCTCCGCCACCATGCGTCTGTTTTGGGTCAGAGTCCTAATGGATGCCTCTTGGGGTCTCGCCAGAGGGCTCTCAGGGGCCTCTGAAGTGCATTTGTGAAGCCTCCTGGGCGCCTCTTGGGCATCTCTTGGGGCCTCTGAGGTGGTGGTGGTGGTGGTGGTGGTGGTGGTGGTGGTGGTGTTGGTGGTGATGGTGGTGTGGTGGTTGGTAGTGGTGGTGATTATTGTGGTGGTTGTGGTGGCAGGTTGTGGTGGTTGTGGCGGTGGTGGTAGTGGTGGTGCGGTAGTTTTTGGTGGTGCTGGCGGTGGCGGTGGTGGTGGCGGTAGTGGTGAGGTGGTTTGTCGTGTTGGTTGTGGTGGTGGTAATGGCTGTGGTGGTGGTGGGTGGTGGTCGTGGTGGTGGTGCTGGTGGTGGGCGTGGTGGTGGTGCTGCTGGTGGTGGTGCTGGTGGTGGTGGTGGTTTGTTGTGGTTGTGGTGGTGGTGGTGGGTGGTTGTGGCTGTGGTGGTGGTGGGGTGGTTTGTTGTGGTGGCGGTGGTGGTGGTGAGTTGTGGTGGTGGTGGTGGCGGCGGTGGTGTTGTGGTGGTGGTGTGGTGGATTGTTGTGGTGGTGGTAATGGTTGTGGTGGTGGTGGTGGGTGGTGGTGGTTTGTGGTGGTGTGGTGGGTTGTGTGGTTGTGGCGGTGGTGGTGGTGGCGGTGGTGTTGGTGGTTATGGTGGTGGTGGTTGGTGGTGGCGATGGTGGCGGTGGTGGTGGTGGCGGTGGGTTGTGGAGGTGGTGCTGGTGGTGGTGGTGTGGTGGTTTGTGGTGGTGGTGGGTTGTGATACTGTGCTGGTAGTGCTGGTGGTGGTTGCGGCGGTGGTGGTGGTGTGGTAGATTGTGGTGGTGGTGCTGGTAGTGGTGGTGGGTTGGTGCGGCGGTGGTGGTGTTGAGTTGTTGTGGTGGTGGTGGTGGTGCCTGTGGTGGTGGTGGTTGTGTGGTGGTTTGGTGGTGGTGGGTTGAGGTGATGGTGGTGGTGGTAGTGGTGGTGGTGGTGGTGGTGGCGTGTTGGTTTGTGGTGGTGGTGGTGGGGTGGTGGTGGTGGGCTGTGGTGTTGGTAATAATGATGGTGCTGGTGGTGGTGGTGGTGTTGGTGGGTGGTGGGTGGTGGGTGGTGGCGGTGGTTGAAGTGGTGGTGGTGTGGTGGCTCGTGGTGGTGGTGATGTTGGTGGTGGTGGTGGTAGGCTGTGGTGATGGTGGTGGTGGTGGCGGTGGTGGTGATGATGGTGGTGGTGGTGTGGTGGTTTGTGGTGGTTCCCCCTGGGCCCTCTCTGGTCATCGTCGCTGCGTCTCTGCCGTCGGCGCTGCTGGCCGGCGCCGGCGCCGGCGCCAGGGAGGGGGTTTGGAACCCCCCCCGTGGGAAGCGGAGGGGGCGGGGGGTTCGGGAGGGGGGGGGGGGCTAGGGGAGAGGGGAGTCCCCCTGGTTCTGATCGACGGCGCCGAGTGTTGGGGGGGACCGGGGGCCCCGGTTCGAAGCGCGCCGCCGAATGTTCCCAAAGCAAGGCCCCGTGAAACGCGTTCTCTCTTTTTTTCCAATATATATATATATATATATATATGTATACATATATATATATATATATGTATTTATGTGTATCTGTGTATATGTACGGTCGTATGCGCCCTGGGGGCCAAACCCACCCGGCTGCCCCCGAACCTTCATGGTAGGACCAGGTCCCCGGGAACGCTCCCAGAGAGCGCCAAGACCGCTCCAGAGGGCCCCCAGATGGCCTTGGAACCCGTCAAGCTTATACTTTATATTGCATGTAGTATCTAGTCGTCGGCCTGACTCGGTTGTGGACAACTCGGCCTTTTTGGGAGACTTGTTAGGGTCTCGTGGGAGGCATCTTGGGGGCATCGTTGCGTCATTTTCGGGCCTTTTGGGGGCCTCTTGGGTGTCTCTTGGCGCCTTTGGGTGGGATCTTGGACGCCTCTGGAGGCTTCTTGAGGGCCACATCGGGGCTTGCGCGCGGTCTCGGTGGCCATCTTTCCAGGGGCAGGGCTCAAGCCATTTTGGCTCAGCCACCCTGGCCCAAGCACCACGGCTCAAACCACAGGTTCAGGCCTCCTCATGTCTGGGTTTGGCAAGTTTGCAATGTCCATCGCCACTCGCGCTTGGACAGGCAATGCTCCGCCTTGTCCACCGCCAAGGTTTGTCCAGCGCGGGGCTCCAGCTTTCATCTCTGGGCTTCTGTGGCCGCCGGCACATTCAGCTCCCACTGTCTGAATTCGCTGAGGTGTTCAGCGGCACATCACGATCTGCCGATGCTTACAAGGACTCTCCACTGGCGCTCCTGAGTTCAAAGAGGCGCGGGGAGGTGTTGGCTACTTTGGCACGAAACTTCTTGGCGGAGTCTGGTAAATCAGTAGACGATTGCTTTCCTGGACACTGCGTGAACGGATCACGACGAAGTCACAAACAGGGTGAATACGATTTCTTGTGCGATGGTTGGAGGGTGGAGTGTAAGAGTTCTCAAATGCATTGGGTCAAGCGTTCCGCCCAGTGGCGTCTCCGTTTTGGGGGAATCAAGTTGGCGTTTGAAGCAGTTCGGGCCCAGCGGTTGTTTGACAAGTTGATCTTGGTTTGCCACAGTCCGACCGACGTGTATCTTTATGAGCACGATATTTCGTTCGGGATCAGTTCCTGTGGTACACACACAGCCTACCGCGGTCACCAAGTTCAAGTGTATGGCAAGTCTGGTAGTTATTGCTGGTCTGATGCTTTACCAGACATGCTCAGAAAACTAGACACGAAAGGCAGCTGCAATCTCATTGCACAGTTTCCGGTTAGAGACGTCCGTGTCAGGATGGCCATAAGCCAGCATGTTTCTGGTACGAATGAGATGGATGCCGCATACAGTGGCGTATTTCTTGCATGCGTCAGCGCCTCGGCCCGTGGACACTGCCTTGAAAGGCTGGCCCGCGCAGTCGACAAGATTGCACACCCAGAAGCCGACATCGCAGAATCCGCCGATGGATTCTGTATCAATGGCAGGCGACGCGGACAACACCGAGCCACATGCGATTGGATCAGAGGCGGAGTCCGTGTGGAATGCAAGAGCTCTCAATTGCAGTGGGATTGTAATCGGAGGGCTTGGTATTTCGTTTTTCGGAATATCGAGTCTTTTGGTGTCGATGACCTTGATCACGCAGTTTTTGACGAGCTCCTGCTAGTGCTGTATACCCCGCGAGGCATATACATCTATAGGCATAACCTTGTCCTCGGCATAAGCGTGTACCATTCGAAATTTAGTGTTCAGCTTGTGGCGAAGCGAGCTGCCCACGGCTGGTCAGAAGCTCTGGATTCGATCCTTGCGAAGATGGACGCCTCTGGCTGCCTCCGCCTGGCCTTCGTGCATTGGCGTTGAAGAGATGCCGTCGAACATGCGTTCGAAGCGATAGCAGTGCTCGATCATCCAGCAAAACAGTATTCGGGGGCAAGGGCTCCAAATTGTAGTTCGGATTCCCCTCTTGGGATTCTCTGGGGGCCTCTGGAGCGCCCTTGGGTGCCTCCCGGGCCGTAGTGGGGCCCTCTTGGGCCACCTCGGAGCCTTTCTGGGAGCCTTATGGTCTGATTGGGGGCGACATTGGGGGCCTCCCGGGCCGTCTCGGGAGGCAGAGACACGAAACAGCGATGACGCGACACATCGGCCACACCATAAAGGAACGTCGTTGCTTTTGGCATCGTAGAGCCTGGATGTTAGCGACTATGGCACGCACCTTCGCGTAATCGAGCCGGCAATTCTTCTCCAGCACCCCCCCGACCTGCGCTAGAGTCTGAGCGCGCGAGCGTAGCGCGCGCGATGTATTCACGGTGGTCTTCACCGCCACCGCGCCTGTGCAACAGAGTCGCAGTAAGGTTAATGTTCGATTGTTTAACGCTGCGCGAGACCCCATCAGCCCATAGAAGAAGCGATGCCCAGGGGAGCTGGCCTCATTATTGGGTGAGCGCGGCAGCATTTGGAGAGCTCGATGTTTTTGGGGGATTCGGAGACTACTCGGATGTCTTTTGGGATCACTTGGGGGCCTATTTGGGGCTTCTTGGGATGCTCCTGGCGGCTCTTGAGGGCAGCTGGGAGCGCCTTGGGGGCCTCCTCTAAAGCCTGTTGCAGATGGAACGTCTTGGGATCGCTTGGGGGCCTCTTGGGGGCCTCTTGGGGCCTCTTTGGCCGACTTGGGGCCCTCTTGGGCCTCTTTATGGAGTTATCCTGGAGGCCGCTTGGGCCATCTTGGGCGGTCGCAGACCCAAGCAAACGAGAACGACAGCATCCTTCAAAAGCCTAAGGCAATCAATGGTTTTTGCCCTTCTCGGGTCATCCTAGAGCGTCTTGGAGCTCTTTTGGGCCGGCTTGGAGGCCTTGGGCTTTCTTGAGACCATTTTGGGAGCCCCTTGAGTGGTCTTGGGCCATTTTGGGCCGTCATGGTGCCACCGTGGCCGTCTTGGAAGCCGTCTCTGAGGCCATCTGGGCCGTCTGGATGCCGAAATGAGCCCTGGTGGTTTTCGAACGTGGGGGAGTGCGGCCTCAGAAACCACAGAAACTCATAGGCAACAGACGAGCATCCGAAGAATGTCAGCCACGCGCAGAGGGAGGGGGGGCAGGGGGGGGTTCTTGAAGCACCCCTGCTTCTTAGAAGGCGCGGGCCTTCTCTATAGACGGGAGGCCGGCGCCTTCTAAGAAGCAGCCTCCTTCTAAGAAGCCCTCCCCCCTCCCTCCACCCTCTTGTGCGCGCCGCCAACATAAGCTTTCGGAGGTCCGCGCGGATTTCTCGGATCGGCGCTGGAGCCCCCTGGCGGCGCCACGGGCGCCGCCGCTGGCGCGCTCCGCGCGCCAGGGCGGGGGGGGTCCAGCGCCGCTCCGAGAAGTCCGCGCGGACCTCCGAGCGCCTATGTTCATGCCAGTGCTGGTTCCCCGATGCACTACGCGCCAGGAGCGAGCCAGCACGTTCGGAGCGAGATTCCTGCTGGCAGCGCTGGCATCGGAGCCTTCTTCCTGGCAGCAGCGATCGCAGCGACGCTGGCAGCGAGAGCTGTTTCGATAGCGAGCTGGCGCGCAACGCGATGCGCGTTGCCCAATAGCCCACACGCTCGGAGTGCACCTCCTGGTCAGAAAGCTGGCAACTCGATATACAAGCTATCTGGCATGCTCGAAGTGAACTTCCCGCTCAGCCACACCCGATGCGAGTCAGCACGCACGGGATGAATTTCTCTAAGCAGCAGTATATCCACCGCGCTGGCAATGCGAAGTTCATTGGCAGGCCCCTCCCTCATGCGCATGAGCTTCCACACGCATTGCAACCCACACGCATGGGGGTCCACTCGCATGGGGCTCCACACCCATGGGGTTCCACGCGCTTGGGGCTCAACGCCCGCACACATGAGGGTTCCACACGAACGGAATTCCACACCGAGGAGGAATTGCGTCGCATAACTGTCCCCAACACCATGGCCTTCATATTACCAGGTGTCCCCGAACAAGAGGAGGCACGTTTTTGTTCCTTGTTCACACAGGGTACCCCACACTTGCTTTCACATTGTATGTTGTATTGCTCATATTTGCCTAGCGGATCGCGACGAGTTGATTTCAGGTAGTATCGAGCGAGAAACAGATTTCAGAAGCCACCCGCCCGTCATGCATGTTTCAATTCATGGCTACAATGCGAGGGGATCTTAAGCGAAATGCCTGGAGTGTCCTTTCAGCAAGTCGAGTGTTGCGACGAGGATGAGTTGTCGAGACTTAAGGATTATAGCTCGAAGGAGGGAGGGCGAGGAGGAGGAAGAGGTCGAGGAGGAGGATGGCGAGCAGGGTGAGGATGAGGATGGGTGGTGGAAGAAGGATGAGGACGAGGATTGGGGAGACGACGGGAAAATTGGAAGATGATGATGATTGTGAGGAGGAGGAGGAGGACGACGAACTTGTGGGGGAGGAGGGAGAAAGTAGGGTGGGGATGCGGAAGGATGATGCTCATGACGATGATGATGAGGTGATGGTTCTGGTCACTACGACGATCATGATGACGCTGATGATGGTGCTGGTGATCATCGTGATTAAGAAGAGGAAGAGGCGGAAGATCAGGCGGACAATGAGGAGGAGGACGAGGAGGAGAAGGAAGACGCGGCGAATCCATGATGTTCTCATGGTAAACTCAAGCAGCCGAGTATGCTTCGGAGGGATGTTCGTCGGAGGATCTGCTCGCCGTGGCCCATCCGCGTCTCGGAGGAGTGGTGGGGCTACCTTCACTTCCCCCCAGATGATGATGATGATGATGATGATGATGATGATGATGATGATGATGATGACGATGATGATGATGATGGTGATGATGATGATGATGATGATGATGATGATGATGATGATGGTGATGGTGATGGTGATGGTGATGGTGATGGTGATGGTGATGATGATGATGATGATGATGATGATGGTGATGATGATGGTGATGATGATGATGATGATGATGATGATGATGCTGATGCTGATGCTGATGCTGATGCTGATGCTGATGCTGATGATGATGATGATGCTGATGATGCTGCTGATGATGATGCTGATGATGATGATGAGTTGGCTGGCAGGGAGACAAGACCAACGATGACTTCCACGAAATGCTCCAGCGCAAGAGGGCCGAGGAGAAGCAGAAGAGACTCGCGGAGGCCAGCCGCCACATGCCCAGCCTTCAGGAGGAAGGGACGACGACGACGACGACGACGACGACGACGACGACGACGACGACGACGACGACGACGACGACGACGACGACGACGACGACGACGACGACGACGACGACGACGGCGGCGGCGGCGGCGGCGGCGGCGGCAGCGAGAGGGCAGGGAAGTTCGATGTTTGGGCATCTGTCTGCCCGTCTGTCTGTCTGCCCCTCTCTCTCTTGTATCTCTCTCTCTCTCTCTCTCTTGCATCTCTCTCCCTCTCTTTCTCTCTCTCTCTCTTGTATCTCTCTTCGTCTCTCTCTCTCTCTCTTTCTCTGACTTTGTCGTGTGTCTCTCTCTCTCTCTCTCTCTCTCCCCTCTCTCCTCCATGTCTCTTCCAGCTCCAATCGTCAAATCATTGCTGGGCAGGGTGCGATCTGGCCCCCAGCTGCAGCTTCGGAAGCCAATGACACTGTTCACAGTGACCAAGTGTTTTCGTCAATTTGGTTGTCAGTGCCTGCCGTTATCCCTCCTCTACTACCCAATCGGGAGTATGATGTTGATGGCGGCGATTATGGTGTCGGTGATGATAACGGACGACGGTGATGACGATGATGTTGCTGATGATGACGACGATACCGATGACGATTGGAATGGGGGAGGAGGAGGCGGAGTAGAGCGAATTACGAGGAGGATCAGAAAGGGAGAACGAGGGAGATGCGGTGACCGAGTAACTTCACGAATGCGGCCGTGACTGCGTAGTCCTCCATCCACGGACCTTCCTCTAGCTTCTTCTCCCGCTGTCGCTGCTGACTCTGCGACTCCCTCGTTTTCTTGCCCTTTGTGGCCATTGGCCTCCTCCTGCGGTTCGCGGAATATTTTGCCAGTGGGTAGGGCCTGATCGCGGCGACGGCGATGGTGGCGACGACGACGATGCCAGCGGCGGCAACGGCGGTGACGGTGGTGACGGCGACGGCGGCGGCGACGACGACGACGACAACCACGGCGGCGATGCCGGCGACGTCGACGTCACACTCTTGTTTTCTTCCCGAATTGTTGGAGGGCTCGCGCTTGGTAGACATGCAGTGCTGCATCACATGCCCTGGGCTGCTGGAACGCTCGCGATGGATAAACATGCAGCGGCAGCGGGGATCAAAACGCCAAGACCGCCGCATATACTACCCCGTTGCTAATGTTTGTGACCATTCTGCCACGGTGCGCATGTGAATCGAGGTGCGCGGCGTGAGCCCGTCCTCGGGATGCCGCGTCGAGGCAGAGTTTTCCTGAGCGCAGAAACCGCTGCGCGAGCGGGATGAAGCGGCGCGGAGTGAGTTTCAGAGGGCGTGGAGTAGGTTGTTCTGCAGCAGCGACAAGCTGGGTGAGTGCATCCCCGACGGCGGAGTTCGTTGCCCCCAATGATTATACGTGCGGGGTAAGTTTTTACGCGATCGTAGACATACAATACAAACAGAGAATTTGAGTGTGGGCAGAAACCTGCATCGTCGCCGCCAGACCCCATGTCGTGGGTTTCTACGGGGGGGTCGCACGTCCAGTGGGATTGTCAACATTTTACGAACGCAATTGCGTAAATTCTAACATCGAGATGGCGACTACATCATCACCGTCTCCGTCGTCATCGCCCACGTCGCCGCAGCCGCCGTCGCCGACTCCGCCGCCGCTGCTGCCGTCGCCGTCGTTGTCGCCGCCGCCGCCGCCGTCATCGACCCGTGGCCGTCGTCGTCTCTGGCGCCGTCATTGCCGTCGTCGGCGTCGTGCGACGTCGTCACCGTCGCCGCCGTCGCCGCTTTGGCCGCGGTCGTCGCCGTCGTCGCCACCGCGCCAAGCGCCGTCGCCGCCGCCACCGCGGCCGTCCTCGCCCCCGTCGTCGTCGTCGTCGCCGCCGCCGCCGCCGCCGACGGCCCATCTTCGGTGTCGCCGTCGTCGGCGACCCCGTCGTCGTCGACGACGACGATGGCGAGGCGCTGTGTTTCTGGGACCAGTCCGCCCGCGCCATCGGTGCCGCGCCACAGCGCAATGCAATTCAATTCACAAGCGATACGAAAGCAATGCGGGGAAAACACAACTTAATGCAAGCCAAAGTCAATGCGCAATCGATGTGAACGCATGGCGCGGGTTAATTTTGCAACCGAGATGGCGACTACATCGTTTTCGTCGTCGCCGTCATCATCACCCACTTCGCCGTAGCCGCCGTCGCCGACACCGCTGCTGCCGGCGCCGTCGTTGTCGCCGTTGCCGCCGCCGCCATCGACCAGTGGCCGCCGTCGTCTCTGGCGCCGTCGCCGCCATCATCGTCGTCGGCGTCGTGCGACGTCGCTACCACCAAAAAGGCGGCTGTCTTGAGAATGCACGTTGTACTAAGGAAAATGGGATGATTTTTGCCTCTCGGGGCCTTCCCGGCGGTCCTCTGGGAATATTTTTGCGCCGTCTTGGGGGCCTTGTGGGCCGTCTGGCCCTGGGGGTGCGTTGGCGAGCTCTGGCCCCCCCACAACCCCCACCCCCCACCCCCTCCAACGACATTTTGGTCCCCAGGGAAGGGGGAAAGGGGGAGGGGGACAGCCAAACGTCTCACACGCCTGTTCACCCTCGGCAAGCGAGGGTCGGCGGATACATACTTCCATACATAGACATATACACATACATCTATACATATACATATTCGTATACATATACATCTGCACATACATTTACATACATACCTGCCTACCTACCCACCTACATACATACATACCTACATACCTACATATATGCATACACACACATACATACAAACATGCATTCATACATACACATCTACCTGCCTGCCTGCCTGCCTGCCTACCTACCTACCTACCTACCTACATACATACATACATACATACATACATACACACATACATACACGCATATACACATACATGCATGCATACATACCTACGTACAAACATGCATTGTTATAATTTACATACATGCATGCATGCATGCATACCTGCTTACTTGCTCACATACATACACACATGCATCGATATACATGTATATATATATGTGTACATGAACACATAGCTGCATACATGCATACATGGTGTATACATATGTATACATGGTTATGCACACGCATTTGCATATACACCACCAGAGATAACTAATCAGTGGATTGCGTGGAACCATTGCAAGCACTCCACGCCTGCCCTCTCTCGTTATCTCCTTCTTCTCTCCCTCCCTCTTGTTCGTTATCTCTCTCTCTCTATGTATGTTGTCTCTCTCGCTGTCGGGTTTACATCACATGATCGTGTTGCATGCACTTGTCTAACATACAGATGCGTGTGCGATATCTCTCCACCGCTATTGCATGCCACCTCATTTCTTTTTAACGCACATGTGTGTATGTAGATTTAGGTATACAGTTATACGTCTATGTACTTACATAAACGCATCTAGGTTGCACACTCTTCTGTGTATATTCTCGTCTGTGCTGCTTATGATATGTTCAAGAAGCTCAGGCCATTCCGCCGACCCCCAGAAGGGATGATGTGCGGCTTCCGAGTTCGTGGGTGCTGCTTGCCGCTTCCCGTCGTGCTGCCTGCGTGCACTTGTTGCTGAGTCGTCCTCGTCTTCCTCCGTGTCTGTTGCGAGGCTACTTGGGGGGCCCTTGGAGGCCTAGGTGGCCGCCCCCTGGAGTTTTCGTTACGGCCTCGGAGAGGCTTTCTTGGCCCTCCAGGGGCTTCTTGGGGGCCGCTTGGGGTAATGTCAGGAGTCTTGGGGGCCATTTTGTGGAGAAGGGCTCCCGGGTTCGCTGCGGGTTTCTCCTCTTGGGCCTCTCTTGGGTTCTTGCTGGTGCCTCTTAAATTGTTTGTGTTCCGTTTGGGGGGTTTCTTGGACCGTTTTGGGCGCCTTTTTGGGCCGTCTCCGGGTCCTAGATGGGGGAGTTTGGGCCGTCCTGGGCCTGTTTTTGGGCGCGCCGTCTTGGACTTGCAGACGCCCGACAAGGCGAGGACGCGAAAATCGCTCAAGACCCTAAGACGCGTGATGCGTTACCTCTTGAGGCCATGTTTGGGGCGCGGGGCGTTCTTTCGGCATCTCGGGCCGCCTTGAGGCTACCTCGGTAGTTCTCGAGGCCTCTCCGGCGTGTTGGAGCCGCGTGGAGCCATCTTAGAAATTGTCTTCAAAGGCGATGTGTTGTTTTTCTTGTAGTCTCGCAGTTCAATTCTGCAACAATATTTGCGCGTAAGCAAAGCACCGCTCTTCTTGGAGGCCTCGCGAGCTGACTATGGAGCAAGACTTGATGCATTCTTATTGCGGGGTCCGCAGGGCCCTGTTGGGCCAGTCTTGGGGCTTTCTGGGCGGCGCCCTGGTCCGCACTGGAGACATCGTGGAGGCCATCGGTGCTTTCGGGCCGTTCCTCCCTGTCGTCCGCGATGGGCCGGTCGAGGGGGAGGGGCCTCCCGGCAAGTTGCTCGGCAGATGGCCCTGCCGGAGGGGCCCGGTGGCCGCCTCGGAAGGGGGGCTGCCCGGTCACAGTCGGTGACCTCCTGGCCGTCAGGGCCCCCCCCCCCGCCAATGTCAGAATGAGGCAGCTCAGGGCTGGGCCTAAACGGTGTTTTGGCGATTTCGTGGGCCGTTGTCTTTTCGACTTCGTTTTGCGGTAGAGGCGGATTGGAGACAAAACGAGGGAAAACGAAAACACAACGAAAACGAACAACACCGTTTAGGTTCAGCCCTGAAGCAGCTGTCTGTGACGAGGCAGTCAACGCATTTTTGTTCGGTCCAGTGGCGGCTGCCTGCGATGCCGCGCGTGTTCGACCTGCAGGGTAATCGTCGTGCTGGCGTCGCTGATGGTAGCGTGCGGGGCAGCTCCAAAGCTTGTAGGGCAAGTCCGGTGAGGCCTCCAGGATGTCGTACGGTCGAGCAGGCGGCCCTTCCAAGGCGTGGGTCCAGGGCCCGTGGGCCCCACTGGCAGCCGGACCGCCCCGTCCAGGTCGGGGGATCCTCTGCCGTCTGCCCGGGCGGCAGGGCCCCACCCCTGCCAGATGGCGAATGGCTGCCGGGCGGCGCGCGCGCTTCTGGAAGTCCCATGGATCAGTACTGTACAAACGATGCCCATCCCCATCCCCATCCCCATCGAGACCCCCACCAGATTACCACCCCAGTTGGGGGCACACCCCTCGAAACCCCGAAGGGAACGACCTATATTCCCATCTAGGGGGGCAAATCGGACGGGGGGGCAGAGCATCTCACGCGCCGCCTCACCCCGTGGCAAGCGAGGGTCGGCGGACGTGGTCACCGGCACCCACGTTCCACGGACTGTGGCTCTCTCCTGCTCACCTCCTCCCTTCCCCCGTTTTCCTCTCGCACCCCCGTGCTTCCTCCACTTCGTCTTCTTCTCCTCCTCATTCATCGGCACGAACGACATGGGTACGGAAAGAGCGGGTACAATGCCCAACAGCAGTTCCTGTTCATTTTGAAGAGGATTCGCTGCCAGTGTCGCCGCGGCCTGTGCCCATTCGAAACAGAAGGCCCCCTGCCCAACAGCGGCCGCAGTCGGTTTTGGACAACATTTGTTGTTCGGCATTGTACCCATTTTTTCTGTGCCCATTTCGGGCGTCCAAAATTCAGCTGCCTCCTGAGCGTTTGGGGTCTGTCTCGCCCGTGCAGGGCGGAAAAGGCGGCGGGTTCAACGACCGCCAGTCCGAGGCCGACCGGATATGCCGGCCAGCCGCGGAGGAGCTCGCGCGTGCCTTTCTGATCTGGCGGGACGGTCACTAAGGAGGAGGAGGAGGAGGAGGAGGAGGAGGAGCAGGAGGAAGGGAGCTGGAGCGAGACACGACGGGGCAGCTCGTGCGAGAGGAGCGGAGAGAAGGGGTGAGGAAGAAAGGGGAGGGTAGGCAGGGGAGGGCCAAGATGTCAAGGTTGCGGGTGGGGGGCGGAGAGGGAGATCGAGCGGACGAGAGATCCTCCTCGTCTTCTTCCTCGTCGTCGTCCTCCCTCTCCTCGTCATCTTCCTTCCTCCCTTTCGCAACCTCCTTCCCACCCTCCCCACTCCCCCTCCTTCCCCCTCCCATGCAGAGCTGGCTTGAAGGGACGAGGGCGTTCCTTCCTGCAGCATTCTTTGCCACTGCCCTCCCAGGTCCTCCTTCCTGGCAGCTCCGCCGGGTCCGTCTGACTTGCGATCGATCCCGTCGAAGCCGCAGATCCCCGACGTCCTACCGTGTCCTCCTTCCAAGCAGCTCCGCTGGGTCCGTCTGACTTACGATCGATCCCGTCGAGGTCCCAGATCCCCGACGTCCTCCCGGGTCCTCCTTCCTGGCGGCTGCGTTGGGTCCTTCTGACTTGCTCGATCGATCCCGTCGAGGTCGCGGATCCCCGACGGCGTCTCTTCCGGAACGTAGACCCCGGAGTTCTTGACCTTTCTTCAGGACCGGCATTCCGTCAGGAATAACGATCTCCAGGGGAAGGCTTCTCCAGATCAGCTTGCAGGTCATTCAAGACCCATGCAGACATCCCAACATCGATATCTCCGGAAACAATGTATGATCCTCCCCGGACCCCGAATTTTATTATTCCCGGGGTGCGGTTCTCACCGGCATAGGGTTAGTTGTTTGAGTTATCATGCTGGGGGCTTGGTGAGAGCTCCCCCCCAAGGCCGAAAACTGCCAAACGCCTTCCGCTGTGTTTTTCTCTTCCAACATGCGAGGGGGTCTTGGACGCAAGCGCGCCTCCCTTCGCTCTTTTTGGCTCCACCTGCGAGCCCTTGGCCAGTGTCGTCGCCCCTATGGCGATGGCCTCCGCTGAAGAGACGCCTCCCTTCGCCGAGTTCGATTCTTGGGTCCACCCGCGAGCCAGGTGGGCAGTCGCCCGTGTGGCGGCGACCATGGCCCCCTGCGCAGCTTTCCGGAGTCCACCTCCCCGGAAGCACCGCCGGGTCCGCTTCGCCTGCGATGCCCGCCACACGGACCCCTTCCCCCCGGCTCGTCACGGCGTCGCACCGCGGGCCATGCCGCCCCCGCTGAACCAGCGCCTGCTCCTGTTGCCCTCCCTCCCGCGGACCTGCGCCTGCGCGCAGCGAGCTTGTGCTTGGCCCAGGCGCACCGCGACCTCCTCCTCCTCCTCCTTCTCCTCCTCTTTCTCCGCCTAACATCCGCCGCTCTGCGGTTGATCGGGAGTTTCTGTATATATAGAAGAAGGGGCGCGCGCTTCTGGGCGAGAGGGAAACGACCGAGAGAAGAAGGGGCGGCCGCCCCACAGGACCTCTCCATGGTGCCGGAAGCCCATCAGGGCTCCCTCAGGGCCCCTCCCCCAGGGCCGGGGCTCCCTCGCCTGCCCCCTCCCCCTCCTCCTCCTCCTCCTCCTCCTCCTCCTCCTCCTCCTCCTCCTCCTCGCCCCCGTCGGCATATCCAGGCGTGTTATGCAGTCAGGTCGTCCGTCCGGAAACGGTGCCGGAGGCCGCTCTGGGCTCCTCTGGGCATCCCCCCCGGGGCCCGTTTTGTGAGGATGTCTCAGGCGAGGGCGCCGGTTTGGGATTCGTCACCGGATCCAGCGGATCCAGCGGATCCGTCCGGAAACGGTGCCGGAGGCCGCTCTGGGCTCCTCTGGGCATCCCCCCCGGGGCCCGTTTTGTGAGGATGTCTCAGGCGAGGGCGCCGGTTTGGGATTCGTCACCGGATCCAGCGGATCCAGCGGATCCAGCGGATCCGGGAAACGGTGCCGGAGGCCGCTCTGGGCTCCTCTGGGCATCCCCCCCGGGGCCCGTTTTGTGAGGATGTCTCAGGCGAGGGCGCCGGTTTGGGATTCGTCACCGGATCCAGCGGATCCAGCGGATCCGTCCGGAAACGGTGCCGGAGGCCGCTCTGGGCTCCTCTGGGCATCCCCCCCGGGGCCCGTTTTGTGAGGATGTCTCAGGCGAGGGCGCCGGTTTGGGATTCGTCACCGGATCCAGCGGATCCAGCGGATCCAGCGGATCCGTCCGGAAACGGTGCCGGAGGCCGCTCTGGGCTCCTCTGGGCATCCCCCCCGGGGCCCGTTTTGTGAGGATGTCTCAGGCGAGGGCGCCGGTTTGGGATTCGTCACCGGATCCAGCGGATCCAGCGGATCCAGCGGATCCGTCCGGAAACGGTGCCGGAGGCCGCTCTGGGCTCCTCTGGGCATCCCCCCCGGGGCCCGTTTTGTGAGGATGTCTCAGGCGAGGGCGCCGGTTTGGGATTCGTCACCGGATCCAGCGGATCCAGCGGATCCGTCCGGAAACGGTGCCGGAGGCCGCTCTGGGCTCCTCTGGGCATCCCCCCCGGGGCCCGTTTTGTGAGGATGTCTCAGGCGAGGGCGCCGGTTTGGGATTCGTCACCGGATCCAGCGGATCCAGCGGATCCGTCCGGAAACGGTGCCGGAGGCCGCTCTGGGCTCCTCTGGGCATCCCCCCCGGGGCCCGTTTTGTGAGGATGTCTCAGGCGAGGGCGCCGGTTTGGGATTCGTCACCGGATCCAGCGGATCCAGCGGATCCGTCCGGAAACGGTGCCGGAGGCCGCTCTGGGCTCCTCTGGGCATCCCCCCCGGGGCCCGTTTTGTGAGGATGTCTCAGGCGAGGGCGCCGGTTTGGGATTCGTCACCGGATCCAGCGGATCCAGCGGATCCGTCCGGAAACGGTGCCGGAGGCCGCTCTGGGCTCCTCTGGGCATCCCCCCCGGGGCCCGTTTTGTGAGGATGTCTCAGGCGAGGGCGCCGGTTTGGGATTCGTCACCGGATCCAGCGGATCCAGCGGATCCGTCCGGAAACGGTGCCGGAGGCCGCTCTGGGCTCCTCTGGGCATCCCCCCCGGGGCCCGTTTTGTGAGGATGTCTCGGGCGAGGGCGCCGGTTTGGGATTCGTCACCGGATCCAGCGGATCCAGCGGATCCAGCGGATCCGTCCGGAAACGGTGCCGGAGGCCGCTCTGGGCTCCTCTGCCGAGTGGCCCGACGAGGTTCCGCCCGAGGTTCTTGGGGTTAGAAGTAGGAACCAAGTAGTTATGAGTAGGTCATAAGCAGCGCATCCTGAGTTCATAACCAATGCAACCAACCAAACCACATGCGAACCTGATCGACGATATTGCTTTGTTAGTTTAGGGGTAACGTAGCATGATATTGTGGTTGCAAACGTAGTTCGACAAACCTGCGTAAACAGGTTGGGTGGGTTATACAAAGCAAGTTCGCATCCAGGATTTCTATACTTCTGCCAGGGAAACCCTTTGCATTTTTTCCAAAAAACATGCAATGTATTCCAGATCACACTACGCCCCCTCAGGTGATAGGTACATTTGCCCCCGTACAAAAAAAAACACGCTCTCGTCATTCGAGGAGGAGGAGGAGGAGGAAGAGGAGGAGGAGGAGGAGAGGAGGAGGAGGAGGAGGAGGAGGAGGACACCATCATTTGTCAATGCGTATTGCTTGTGCGCATACAAGATCGTGTCTGGAGCCGTTGAGGAGGAATCTTGGGCCGCAAATGCACGACTGGTGCTTGGGCCGTTTGCTGCAACATTCACGTTTGTAATGATGCGATTTCTTGTATTCCGTTCGATATTTTGCAGTTCGTGCGTGCTCTCTCATAACGCATGTCTCCTGTTTCAATCATCCCACCCCTCTCCTTCAATCCTCCTCCGTTCCCATAGCCGTTTGGGCGTTTCAGGCCATGTGTAAGTTTCTCTGCTACACTTGGCCTCTTTTCACCATGGTCGTTTCTTGTGAGATGGACCCTCGGTATGCATTGTGTAGCGCCGAGGAGCAACTGCAGGCCGCCAGGCCCGACTTGGAAATGTTGAGGGCGAAATCCAAACAAGTGAATGCAGGTGTTGTTGGCTTGAGGGACCAGCTGTATATGAAACTTCAGTCGTACGGATTGGCTCGGAAGAAAAAATGCCCTCTCGATTCGATTGGTTTCCATCCTTGGAACAGGAGCAACACTGGGTGTGACCCCCAGGAGGCCCACAGGAAGCTGGAAAATCTCGCGCGTTGCGGTGTGTCCCTCAGCGAGATGGCCAGGGCTGTTGCTGTGTCGAAGTCACCGAACCGCAAAGGCACTGCATATGAGCTCAAAAATGTCGAGGTTGCAGCGCAGAACAACTTGCTTGCTCCTGTGCAGCTAGGCTCGCTGGAGGTGTTCGCCCTTGCTTGTAATCACACGTGCCAGGGCTTTCGCGCTGCCAAGGCAGGCTGTCCGTCCAGTGCTCCGCTCATCTCTCGCGATGGGAAGTTGTCTCAATCAGCCATTTCTGAGAGCGATCCCTTCGCAGCTCGTATCTTTTCCGAGGGTGTTGATTTCTTGGTCATCGACTGGCGCGTAGAGGATGCATTCCCCCGACCTCGTGAGGCTCATCATCGAAGCCGACAACGTGCCCAATGCTATCAGCAAGCGCGACAACTGCTCAGCTCTGCTCAACAAGTGCCACAACGCGGCCGTGTCCCTCAGCAGCGATTGGAGTGACATTGATGAGCTGGCCTCCAAGGTCAACAGTGATGAGTTTTGGCACGCCGTCGAGGAGAGGGCCATGCGGTCTGAGCTAGACAGGAAGGAAGACATCAAGCACTATGTCAAATTCATTCGCAGCTGGAGCGGCGGCCTGCGGGATCCGTTCATCATTGGCGACTTCGAGTTTTTCGTTCGGGGGGCCCCTGTGGTGAGGGAGATTTCAGCGGCTCTCTTCAGCAAGCTCGCAGATGTGAACCTTGGCCCAGCCACGGGCGCATGGTGGAGGTGCGCAG